TTTTTTTATTCTTTATTCTTCCTATCTTTCTTTCTTTTTTTAAAAAAAAAAAATTCCTGGTAATTCTCAGGCAATCAGACATAGGAAGCTTGCCCACCAATCTATGAATTGCTGCAGCCAGTGAGGCTGGTAATACAAACTGTTATTCTGTTGAACAACATATTTCTTTTTCTAGTTTATAGAATAAGACATTGATCTTGGCTGGTCACCAACGATCTTAAAATTGGCAGGAGATAAAAAAAAATAAGGGTGCTGTGGGAACAAGAAGCAGGAGCAATTAACTCAGTCTTTGAGGGTTAGAGAACACTTTCTAGAGGAGAAGAATCTAAATTTAGAATTTGATTCCACTGTATGTGATGGAGAATACAAAATTATTGAGGATTACTGCAGATAGATATATTTTATCTCATATAGTCTTAAGGAAAGCAATCCAGTCCTGATTTGGGGCTTCCCTCTTCTTTTCTACCATCTTCAGTGGAAGGTCTATGTGTTCCAAGATAGTTGCTTAGATTCCAGCCATCACTTTCATATTTCTGCCAATAGAAAAGATATAGGAGCAAAGAAGGGCTTAACCTCGCCATTTAAGAATTTTTTTGAAAGTTGAACATGAAGCTTCCATTGTTATCTTACAGTCCAGAACTTAGGCATTTGGCCACACCTTTCTTTAAGAGACAAGTCTTTATTCAAAATAGCCATGTATGTAAGTAAAAATACAGGGTTCTGCTAAGAAAAAAAGGAAATAAAAGATGCTGTTGGGCGACAACTAGAAAATCTCTGCGATTTGGAAAATGATAGGCAATTAGACAAAAGACATCAGAAGTAGACTTTCCAGAAAGAACTGGTGTGGCCCACGGTCAGAGGGACACATGTAGCACGCGTCTTTCCACTTACTCTGCTCATCATGCTTATTGTGGTCCGGAGCCCACCTGGCATGAGCCTGCTTGCCCTACTAGCTAGATCCAGAATGCCTTTAGCTCAACTCAAACAGCAAAATGCATCATAACCCCCAGAATGATGACTGCTTAGAGAAACCCCTCCTTTTGGTCTGTCAGTGTGAGAGCTCATTCGGAGCTCATTGTTGAAATTTGTTAGGACCGATTACTGACGCCAATTTAGAAGGCCCTATAATCTCAACTCTTTCAAATGACACATCTGTTAGAGAATAATATGCAAACATGAAAGGTGATCAATTTGAAGGCATGAAGTAGGATAAACAGCTCATAATGAAATAGATAAAATGGAAAATTTGTGCATGTGTGGTGATTATAATCATGTGAAAATGTGTATGTGTGTGGACAAATATTAGAAAGAACATCAAAAAATAGAAATAATTACTGAATTTGGATTAAAGCCTTTTTTTCCTCCTCTGAAAATTCTCTTTAATGTAGCTATATTGATTTCAAAACAAAATTTGAAAATAAGTCTTGCAAACATTACATGGTGTCACTGATAGAGGTGCATGACAATCATGTGATGAGCTTATTTTTTTTTAAATTTTTTATTGTTGGTTGTTCAAAACATTACATAGTTCTTGATATATCATATTTCACACTTTGATTCAAGTGGGTTATGAACTCCAATTTTTACCCCATATACAGATTGCAGAATCATATCAGTTATACATCCACTGATTTACATGTTGCCATACTAGTGTCTGTTGTATTCTGCTGCCTTTCCTATCCTCTACTATCCCCCTCCCCTTCCCTCCCCTCCCCTCTTCTCTCTCTACCCCCTCTACTGTCATTCATTTCACCCCCTTGTATTATTTTTCCCTTTCCCCTCACTTCCTCTTGTATGTAATCTTGTATAACCCTGAGGGTCTCCTTCCATTTCCATGCAATTTCCCTTCTCTCTCCCTTTCCCTCCCACCTCTCATCCCTGTTTAATGTTAATCATCTTCTCATGCTCTTCGTCCCTACTCTGTTCTTAGTTACTCTCCTTATATCAAAGAAGACATTTGGCATTTGTTTTTTAGGGATTGGCTAGCTTCACTTAGCATAATCTGCTCTAATGCCATCCATTTCCCTGCAAATTCTATGATTTTGTCATTTTTTAATGCAGAGTAATACTCCATTGTGTATAAATGCCACATTTTTTTTATCCATTCGTCTATTGAAGGGCATCTAGGTTGGTTCCACAGTCTTGCTATTGTGAATTGTGCTGCTATGAACATCTATGTAGCAGTGTCCCTGTAGCATGCTCTTTTTAGGTCTTTAGGGAATAGACCAAGAAGGGGAATAGCTGGGTCAAATGGTGGTTCCATTCCCAGCTTTCCAAGAAATCTCCATACTGCTTTCCAAATTGGCTGCACCAATTTGCAGTCCCACCAGCAATGTACAAGTGTACCCTTTTCCCCACATCCTCCCCAGCACTTGTTGCTGTTTGACTTCATAATGGCTGCCAATCTTACTGGAGTGAGATGGTATCTTAGGGTGGTTTTGATTTGCGTTTCTCTGACTGCTAGAGATGGTGAGCATTTTTTCATGTACTTGTTGATTGATTGTATGTCCTCCTCTGAGAAGTGTCTGTTCAGGTCCTTTGCCCATTTGTTGATTGGGTTGTTATCTTATTGTCTAATTTTTTGAGTTCTTTGTATACTCTGGATATTAGGGCTCTATCTGAAGTGTGAGGAGTAAAGATTTGTTCCCAGGATGTAGGCTCCCTATTTACCTCTCTTATTGTTTCTTTTGCTGAGAAAAAACTTTTTAGTTTAAGTCCCATTTGTTGATTCTAGTTATTAACTTTTGTGCTATGGGTGTCCTATTGAGGAATTTGGAGCCCGACCCCACAGTATGTAGATCGTAGCCAACTTTTTCTTCTATCAGACGGCGTGTCTCTGATTTGATATCAAGCTCCTTGATCCATTTTGAATTAACTTTTGTGCATGGTGAGAGAAAGGGATTCAGTTTCATTTTGTTGCATATGGATTTCCAGTTTTCCCAGCACCATTTGTTGAAGATGCTATCCTTCCTCCATTGCATGCTTTTAGCCCCTTTATCAAATATAAGATAGTTGTAGTTTTGTGGATTGGTTTCTGTGTCCTCTATTCTGTACCATTGGTCCACCCGCCTGTTTTGGTACCAGTACCATGCTGTTTTTGTTACTATTGCTCTGTAATGTGATGAGCTTATTAAAAATGCAGTTTACACACCTGTAATCCCTTAGCTGGGGAGGCTGAGGTAGGAGGATTTGAATTCAAAGCCAGCCTCAGAAACTTAGCAAGGCCCTAAGCAACTCAGCAAGACACTGTCTCTAAATTTTAAAAAATACAAAAAGGGTTGGAATGTGGCTAATGTTGTAAAGCACCCCTGGGTTCAATCCCTGGTACAAAAAAAAAATGCAGTTTACCACTAAAGAAAGAGTGCAATTATCAGGCTCCAGTTCAAGAGATCAAGTGTACACATTGGAGAATGATTACTTTTTACATAAGCATCTGGGCTCAACTTGTTGGAGGTAGTTTATTGAAAAACACTGACATGATGTCTCACAGACACCTGAAAATGGGTGGGACAATATCTGTGCCAAAGTAACTCAGCTTTGTGTTGTGCTAAAGGCTCTAGACTCATATCCCTCTAAAATTATTGGGGAAACTAAAAAAATTCAAAACAAAGACTCCATGTTAATGAAAACACACCCTTCTCCCTGGTTTGGAAAGTGAAATGTCACTAAAAGGCACAGCTAGGATCATTTTTCTCTTAGTCTTCCAAGTAAACTTGAAGTTGTCTGGTAAAAGCATCCCCAGTATTAATTGTTGTGAATCTCCACACATCCTGTGTCTTATCCCACATCTTTCTAATGGGCTCTCCTACAAGTTCAGCCATGATCTGCCTTCGAAAGTGAGACTTGCCAATTTCAAACTCTATGTGGGGTAGAATAATTTCGAAAGCCAGCTCTGTAGGTGATTCAATATTCATTTTACTCATTAGGGTGACCAATTCACCCTAGTTGACACAGAAGTTTCCCAATTTTAGCACTGAAAAGTCCCTTGTCCAGGAACCCTCTGCTCTTTAGTCCCTGGCATAGTGGGACCAGGAGGATTGGTAGTCTTATATCTTTTCATATCCTATAACCTGTGTACTTTCAAAAGCAGCTCAGACTTTCTTTGGCTTAGAAATAAACTCACTGACTGGGTAATTACTTGTAGCTTAAAAAAAAAAAAAAAAAACATTCTACAGGAGGGATTGTCAGCCCCACAGTGCCCCAGGACACAGTCAAAACCAGCTTTCTAATGACCTTCCTTTGAAAAAGAATATGTATTAGATGCAGGACATTCTTTTTAGAAAGAAGACATTTCCCTGAAGTGCTCTCAGAGGAGGAGATATAAAGGTGTAGAGCAAGAACCCTCCCCCATTTGCCAGCCCCCTTTCCCAATAACCATTCAGTAGTGAAATTTTTATTAAGCTTGATATGTTAAACTCATCACAAAGCAGAGGGATAAGGTTGGGTCATGCAGTCAGAACCCAAAACAAAGGGTGTGAAAGTTTTCTATTAAGTAGAATTAGATAAAAGGTGCTTTCTCCTTTTGTAATTATTTTTAGATAAGTATTGGGATGCCTTTGGAATTTCTCTTAAATCCATAAAACTTAAGATCATTAAGAAAGCTAAAAAGGATGTGTTTCAGCAGAATCTGTTTAAAATGCAGAATTAAAACATTTCAGTTACTCTGCCCACATCAGAATTAGACTACTTGAAAATACTGCAAGCAGTTCACAGAATCCCCAGAAATTCACTTCAAAATCAGTTCCAAACTACAATTTTCAAAAGCAGCTCAGGCTTTCTTTGGCTCAGATATAAACCCATTGACAGCTGGTTGGCACTGTCAACCAGTGAAAAATATACTGTGTACGCATTTAGCACTTTTGCCTACTTGAATTCTTCGGTGCAATATCAACTTTCATTAAAAAGCCAGTTTAATAGCCAACAGCAACTGACAACAATTTTTAGTTTCAGTTCTTTAATCTCTTAAGATCATTACATATTTAATTCAAAAAAGTTTATTCAGCTACTGTTTTCTTTCAGTAAAGGATTTGAGGTAACCAATGCAGAAAACCATATGTAAAGTCAACAATTTTTAAAACAAGGCCACCAGATATTACTTACTGTATTAGCATTTTCCAAAGTGTATTCCATGAGATGTTAGTAGGCATTGTTAAAAAGAAAACAAACAAGAGTGGGGGTCTCATGCACTGGGGAAACACAGAGACAAGCAGAGGTCTTTACAGCTATACTTTTGAGACATTACAATGGAGATGAATGTTAACATTCTCCAAGGTAGCAGGGAATGGTATGAGTTTCCAAAACTTCTTTGACCAGATTTTGTCAGAATATCTGAATGGCTTGGGTTCTAACTAACACACATGGAGAAACATATCTCTTGCCTTTCTAAGTCTGATAACTCAGCTCCTTGAAAGTTGGAACTAAACATATTTTCAATCTATTTGCTGTCAAACTGGTTATTTTTATTTGCAAATGACTAGAACAGTTATGTCAAAAGCATGGAACAGTTTGAGTGACATCCTAAACATATTGACGTTGCAACATACTTTGAAAGGGAAACTATTCTTATAACAAATCATGAACTCCAATTCATAATAAGAACAAACAAGGCAATGAGACCTATTACAATGTACTTGTGGCTTCCAGATCAAAACATTTTCCCTTTGATGACTTGGAGAGGCAGATCAATTATTGCCAACGGGGCAGGGCTTTGTTTAGTCTGTAGTTCTTTAGTCAGTGATTTGAAGAGCTATAAGGGAGTATATATGTAGTTATGCATGCTTATCTACAATTGGGCACTTTTCTAAATAAGAGATAAGCATATTTCCTAACCCAAATTATACCATGGATCTATAAATATTCTAAATTCCTGACTTCTGATCCCAGCACTAAAGAAAAAGGAGAAGATTAAAAGAAATGTCCAGCCATTAAGAGAAAAGACTGGGGAAGACTACCCTGAAAACAGGTAGAAATACTGAACTATGCTCTATTATCATTCCACTACTTTACACAGTGATTCTCCCAACCAATTTTTCTGTAAGAATAAGGTCTATGATGAAGACCTAGTTTAATTACATAGGTGTTATTAAAATGAGATCTGGCAAAATGGGTCAAATTGTTGCATACATCACTCCTAAGGTATAGACATTAAATGTATATACAACCAATGTTGCTCTAGTTCGGATGTGAAATGATATAATGTTTAGTCTCTACCAAGCAAGAAATTCATGTTTTGCTCTTTAACCACATCAAAATGGCATTGGGTTGAGTGATAACAAAAATATAAAACATGAAAATAAAAAATTTTATTGGGAGTGAAAATGTTATGTACAGTCAGAATAGGGTTGATGAAATGTATCACATTAACAACCTTTGTTTAAGAAACAAATGCAGGTTTCGTAAAGGAAGAAGTTGGAAGCTTAAAACAGTTTTCTATACACAATTTCCAACCAGTTTAGTAACAAGACCTCAATTTACACAAATTATACTGATCACTGAGGGAAAAGTGTACTGATTTATGGCAATTATCCATCATCAACTCACTTTGTGCCCTCTAGATCTGTCTTTTACCATGATCCCATCTCTGGTGGTCCTGATCCCATTCCAAAAGGTCTTTGCTATCTATAATTGGGCATTTGCCCATAGCAGGGATTAATAAGTAGGGGCTTTTGTGTATTGTGGATTAAATAAATTCCACATGCTTTTGAGTAAACTCATGGTTTTCAAGACAGTTGCTTGAACCAAATCTGGAACCATTGCCCCTTCATAGGAGTGTTTAAGTTACATGTACACATGTATAAACAGTTTTGAAATAATATAAGTATGTGCACATCTTATTAATACAATATCAATTCTCATGTAAGATAATGGGATTCTGTACAATTCTAAAAGCCATTAAACAAAAATAAATATCTGTATGTGGTATGAAAAATAATCTTAAATGAACAATATTCATTATACTTATTTCTATCATCCAAACAGAAAACATCCATCAAGAACAATTTTATCTATGTTTATTTAATTATAACAAAAATACAACAATGCATACCAAATGGAAAAAAATATATTTTAAAATGATGATAAAAACGTTTAGGGACAGCAATGACTAAATATAGCTGAAAGAATTACCCAGGTGCCATTAAAACACATTTGCAACTTATAATTGGTTATTGGTGTAAATTAGTAACTGAGTCCCAATTCACTTCTAAAAGTTATCAAAATATTTTCAAAATGTTACATAAAAACTGACAATATAAGTATTATATAAACACCAAACAAAAATTATTTAAGAATATTTATGTATCCTGAGATAAAATGCAAATCACACTTCTTATGCCAGATATATACTACCTTTCTCCTCACACACAATTGTGAGGTTTCTGTATTTTGTACATGCCAACATAAAGTAATGATAACATGTTGGTGCAAATTTCAGCCATAAAAGCAATCTGCTTCATATTTTAAATATTCCTACGATGAAACATCAGGACTCCAGTTTCATTAATCAACATTTTATGAAGACATGAATAGAATTTGGTTTTGACTCCTCGAATCATGGCTGAAAACTCTCAGCAAAGGATTCTAGGCTTTTTTTCTCACACCAACTGACCCAGAGTATATTTTAAGAAATGTTTATTTTCTGTGCATATTTGTTTTAAAATTATAAATTCCTGAGCACTTTTTCTTCTTCCTCCTCATCGCTGTCAGTCACGTTGACTTGCTGGATACTAGAGGGAGTTGAGGTGGGAGCTGTGAAGACGTTCTCCAAAGCCTCAATGTCCAGCTGGGGTATGGGATTTAAGTATTCTTCCCCACTGTGGCTGTTATAGTAAGAGGTCCCATCCATGCTCTCACAACCCGGAGAATCTTCATTGTGTGTGCGATCGTCTGGGTAGTCTCTGAAAGGGTAGTCTCTATTTAAAGCTGAAAACATAGCCTCGTGTTTTTGGTACTTGTCTTCATAATAACCAAGGCATTCTGGCATTGAGCTTGGAAAATTCCCATAGCCAAAGGGAGGCCGACTGTAAGGACATGTGCTGTGGCAGAAAGATACAAAAAAGGAATTAGATTAGATCTTGCCCGAATCTTTCCTTGCATACCAACTAATTGAGAAAGTTAACTGCATTCTCTTTGGGGCCTGGAAAGTTCCCAAGATCCTTTATGAAACCATTTCATATATTCATTTGCTCTTTCCCCACTGCCCAAGTCCTACTCAAAATAAATAGCAAAGGAAGTCTGCAACTAGAATAACCACCAGTATTTATTTATTACTTGCTCCTGCCTTCTTACCTTTTGCTGACCTTGATAAAGAAAAATTGCTTATCCTGGCCTCTTAGGGTATTTCACATTATGAAAGGTTTTGGAAATATAGGTACATGTTTTGTCAAGCTAACAAATCACATGGTAAATAATTCAACAATTGTTCTTACTGGTGTTTGAAAGAAAGCTCATGGGGGGTAGAAAATATATAAGTTAAAAGGGTTGAAATCAAGAGCTCCTAAACACTGAACTCCTGGAACAGAAGATGACAACTTTATTTTTTAATTAACATTCAATAACAGAGTAAATTAAAAACACTCTTACTATCACATACCATATACCATCAAGATTTAGAACTGAAATTTAACTGTGATCTTTAAGGTCTTTTGCAAACATTTTTTGGAAAAGAAGAATGTGGGGGAAAAAAGACTTTTGCAAACCAAATAATTCTGCCATTCAAAATCATTTGCCAGTTTTTTAAAAAGTATTATTATCTCCTTCAAAAGTCAAGAACAGGAATTATAGGAAGAAGTATAGAAAAGGTCTACCACCGTGGGCTCGTGGACTCCATCTAGTGACAAATAATTTAAACACAATAACTATATGCATTAGGCAAAACCTATGATGAGTTGGGTATTTCATTTTATGACCCCGCGTTTGAAAGAAAGAAAGAGAAGCCAGTCAGTCAATTTGTTTACTTTTAAGAATATAAATATGACTGACATATTAGATTACTATCTCAAACTGTGAAACTAATTCCCACTTCCAAATCTTCAAATGCTAGGTTCCTTGTTCATGTTAAATATCACAAATGTGAGGCAAAGCTTCCCCAAATTTTCAGCTTTCCATTCCTACTGCCACATCTTAGTTCCGGCTTTTTAAATGTAATACGTGTTCCCTCAATTTAAAAGGTCTGTTATGAGAAACAAGAGGATATGTATTAGTACTGAATACACTATCCTTCTAGCTACTATGATTTTGTTCATGCAACTTCCCAGCTATAGGTCTCTTGGTCCATTGCATTTTATAGGTTCTCCAGAAGGAATATTAAATCTACCTGCTCCACAAAGTCCTCACTTCAGGTAGAAATAATTCACCCAGTAACTATCTTTTTCAAGATTCAGTGTAAGCAAGACACTATGCAAGGCCTGAAGGAGAAATTTTTTAACGACCTAATATCTTGATATATACTAGGTGTGCTAAAGTTTGTAATGCCAGCATTACGACGACTATATTGGTGCAGCAAAGACAGGTTAGTGTCATACTCACAGAATGAAAAATTCAATTAAGACAAAGGTAATCCCAGATTACACGGATGAAAATAAATGACAATAAGAGCATTGTGATGGTAGTGGGGAAAACATCAGTGAAAATGATTAGAATAATATTTTCTAGGCATTGGCTAAGGATTTTATGTTGTCTCAATTATTCCTCAGAACAATCCTATGAGATAGATACTATAAATATCTCTTCAGTGGAGGAAACTGAGCCTTAGAAGAGGTTAATATTATACAATCTCATAATTAGTAAGTGGCAGAACAGTACAGGGCACTCTGACTCCAGAGCTTGTTTACTTAAATACCATGCCACACTATCTGGGCACTAGTTCTAGTTGTGCCACATACAAACCTGGTAAACTTAAGTAGCTCTTCAATCATCTGAGACTTGGGTCCTTAATAAAATAGCAATAACATTGCCTGTTCTGTCAATTTAAAAGGTCTGTTATGAGAAACAAGAGGATATGTATAAGTACTTTGGAAACTGGAAATACTATTTCAGTGTGTGATTGGTAAGTCTCACAGGAAGTTATATTTAATAATGTGCTCATAAACACACATAAATGTACATTTTACTTTTACTTTCAAAAAGAACGAAAACAAAGCTAGGAAAAAATGTAAATAAAGACGGTTATCAATGGGGTAAAGAAGAAAGGAGAGAGGAGACAGGGATAGAAGCTAGATCTTTGTAAACATACAACTTGAATTATGGTTTGGACTTTGAAACCACATGAATATTACATAATTTTTAAATGAACTTATTTTTTTTAAAGTCAATCACTAACCAGGCAAAGTGATACACCTGTATTCCCAGTGACTTGGGAGACTGAGGCAGGAGGATCACAAGTTTGAGGCCAGCATAGTAATTTAGAAAGTCCCTCACCAACTTAGTTAAGACCCTATTACAAAATAGAATAAAAAGAACTGGGAAAGTACCTTAGTCACTGTAAAGCACCCTAGATTCAATCCCTAATAATTTAAATCGAGTATTTTTATTGTACCTTGCTGGTAACATATATCATAAAGATAAAATGAATCACAAATGAATCTTAAACTGTACCGAAGAATTTTATTGTTAGTGATATTGCTGATTTGAAACTATCGCTATCATTTTAAAATTATGCTCAGGAAAAAAACATGTTTAGTATGATAAAGCAAATAATTATGTAATCATTATTGGAAACTAAAATTTTTAATTTGACTGAAAAGATACTACCTCATAAAAAATCAAAGAAATCAAAACTCTGCAATATTGTATTTATTTGGGAAGTAGCAATAAACTTTTCTCATTCAAAAATACACATATTCAAATAATTTCCACTGACAAGGCCTACATACTTTGTTAATTCAATAGTAGTGAGCGTCCCTATTGCTCAAATTATAATTTCTAAATACTACTTTCACTAAAAGGAACCAGGGCTTCTGGGGAAAATGGCTGGTTCCAGGTCTCAAATAGATAACCTATGAGATGAATGTGGAACACACTGTGCCAAAGAGCTAAAATCTTTGATAGACATATAAATGGTATATGAAAAAATGCTCAGCATCACTAGTCATCAGGAAATATAAATCCAAACCACAATGTGATATCATCTCCCTTAAGTTAGAATGACTATCATCAAAAAGTTAAAAAGTAACAAATTCTGGCAAGAATTCTGTACACTGTTAGTGGTAATATAAATTAGTTTCACCACTATGGAAAACAGTATGGAGATTCTTCAAAAAACTAAAACTATAAATACCATATGATCCAGCAATTCCACTACTGGGTATATATATTGAATCATTATACCAAAAAGATATTTTCACTCTCATATTTATTGCACTATTCATAATAGCCAAAATAAAGAGTCAACCAGTTGCCCTCCAGTGGATGAATGGATAAAGAAAATATGGTATTATCTATATAACAGAATATTATTCAGTCATATAAAGAATGAAAGCCTGTCATTTGCAGGAATTTGAAGTCATGATGTTGAGCAAAATACATCAGACATGGAAAGACGAATATCAAATGTTCTCAACTCATTTGTGGAAACTAAAAAGTTGATCTTGTAGAAGAATAGAATGGAATAGGGGTCACTAGAGAATGAGACAGGCAGGTTGAGGATATTTTATCCAAAATGCTTGGGACCAGAAATGTTTTTGATTTCAGAGTTTTTTAGATTTTGTCATAGTTATAGAGACAATACCAATTGAGCATCTCTAATCCCAAACCTGAAATCTGAAATGCTCCCAAATCTGAGACTTTTTGAGCACTGATAAGACACATGAAGTTTTAGATTTTGGAGCATTATGGATTTTGGAATTAGGGATTTCAACCTGTATTGATGTATTTGTAGATGAAATTATACGTCTGTGATTTGCTTTAAAATATTTAAGACCTCTTCCTTCAAAAAAGTCATAGGAAATAGGATAAATGAGAAAAGCAAAAATGTTAATTGTTGAAGCTAGGTGATGGGTTCATGGAGATTCTACTATTGAAGGAGAGAATTTTTTTAATGACCTAATATCTCGATATGTACTAGATATGCTAAAGTTTGTAATGCCAGCATCACGACATATTGGTGCAGAAATGAAAGGTTAGTGTCATACTCAGAGAACGAAAATTTCAATTAAGACAATGGTAATCCCAGATTACATGAATGAAAATAAATGACAATAAAAGCATTGTGATAGTAGTGGGGAAAGCATCATTGAAAATGATTCGAATGATATTTTCTAGGCATTGGCTAAAGATTTTATGTTGTTTTCAATTATTCCTCAAACTACTATTCTGTTTTACAAATGAAATTTTCTACAAAAACTGATAAATAAAATATACCATTCATGAGGAATTGAAAGCAAGTTTTCCCTCTATTACTGAAGGAAACAAGAGTGTCTTCTAGTCTTTAGCACATTCTATCAAGGATTCAACCTTCGTGCTTACTGCCCTGGAAAAAACCCTCTACTGTGGCTGGCATTGTGGATAGTCTTTAGTCCCAGTAGAGGGGCTAAAGACATTAGTACTTACTTTTAGTGTTATAAATTCTATAGATTTTAGCAAATGTATAACGGCATAAATCTACCATTAAAGTGTCATACAGACACTGATTCACCACCCTGAAAATCTTCTGTGCTCTGCTTTTCTCCTTTGAGAATGCCCAGGAACTAGAGTAAGACACATGCAAAATGACAATTCATGGATTTGTACATTCCTTCTTCCACTCACATTAACCTCAAAAGTGCTCAACTATAGATTGAGTGTACTGTGTTGTTTAAATTCATTCCAAAATAAAATGCATGATCCATGGAATAAAGTCACTGGGTTGGCAAGCAATTCAGGGAACGAAATCAACAACTTTGAAACTTGGTGAGTTGCTATATATAGTCCATTGAATATGTACCATGGGTAAGTGCTAGATGTATCTCCAACTATGAAAATAACAAAGTATAGTATGTTAAAGATCTATGCTTCTAAAACCCTCTTTAAACATAATCTATAAATAGAAATGCAAATA